TATTATAAATGGTCATCTTTAAAATTCTGTGTTAATTTAAAAATATTATTTGTTCTTACCTTTTTTTAAAAGAAAATGATAGAAACTGCCAATAAGTGGCAATGTTTTTGGTCCTGGTAATGAATTCAATTTTTTAATGAAAAACAGTTTTTGGTAATAATTCCAAAAGAAGTAACTGATAGCAACAATTGCCAAATAAATCGATACACTATTTCCAAACAACATTATATTAAGCAATATTAACTAATGCAAAATATATCAGTACAACTTGATATTAATCTTTCTATCAAAATAAGGATCTCGCTAACTCGGCAGAGCTTTTATTGTACATCCCCACTCAGTTAGTCCAGTAAACAGGTAATACAACAAGGTGTACGTTACATATAACATCCACATTAGTTGTAATTACCCACTCGTTGGACATTTGTAATTACATAAATATAACATATAATATAGATATATATAACATATAACATATAATATAGAGTTATGTAAACATAGTACGTAACTAAAATGTTACAGAAGTAATAATATAATAATAAATCACATTTTGTTTTTATTTTCTATGTAAAATTTTATATTTCAATTATATTCAAATCTATAATATATTGCAAATGACCAAAAAGTTTGTAATATCATTTTTGTACAGAACTGAATAAGATATAAATTCACACCGAAACATTTTTAAGCATTTTTCTTACTCATTGTTAATTATTTATATATATTCACATTGTTCTAATATCATTTATTATTGTGCAAATGGAAAAGTTATATTCAAATAAAGAAAGTTATTATATATGACATACATGAATATTTACAAGATATCTACAAATGTAAAGATGAAATGCATACCTATCTATATTTATATTTTTACAAATCCTTAAATTTTATTTATTTTTTGTCATTAATAAAAAGAAATAATAAGCATTTTCGTTGCAGAGGCCCTTATTATTATTCCACCTTCCCCTATACATGTCATAGATCGTGAAGAGTTTCCCATAAACGGCATCTAACTTCGTTTTTATTTCTTCGCACGTTTTTCCATCTACTAAAAATAAAAAACGAATCACAGATCGATATTGTTCTTTTTCCGTATCGAACAATGACTATGGCCCGTATTCAGAACGCACTTTTATCGATAAAAGCGCGCTTTTATCTCTGAAATTCGCTATAGTATACGTGACGTAAACTGATAGCATGTTAGCGCGTTCTGAATACGGGCCTATGCGTTTACATCGTAAATTTAGATCACGGTCTATATCCCAAATTCCTAAATTATTTATTAGATCCCCTGCTGTAATAGGCCAGGCTTCGGTTTTTGATGACCTGACTTAAAATAAACCGCCTGTAACTCCGATGTAAATGCGCGCTACCCGACCTACAATTATATTATATTCATTAATCTCAAATTGACGTATATGTGTCATGTCGTTTATTGGTTATATATGATTGACATATATTTCTCGTAAAGAGCAACTTGTTCTAAAACTGTTTAAACGTCGCGTCAACAACTGTTCCTGTTCCTGCTGCTGCTGTTGATCTCATGAATTAAATGTCGAATTAATCTTAGATTCGCGATTTGAATTTAGCACCGAGATCGTAATGTACTTCATTGCTTACGGTGATCTATCTTGGGTCGACCAGTATAATACATATTCTGTAATTTTTAACGCAAATTTCGTTATCATTATAATAAACGCCCGCGCTGCACTACGCGCAGCTATTAAATTATACCCAGTGAGAAATGACTATGATCAATTCGTGATGTCGATTCGACGTTAACTCGACATCTAATTGATTATTTCTTACTAGGTGATTGAAATAAAAATAGTAGGAGAAAGAATACATAAAAGTGTTTAATAAGCCAGTGATTACGTTTACATAGTTATTATAACAGTCAGCTTAATCTAAATATTATATATAGTAATTATGTAAATCGTTGAAATAAGTTTTATATAATTGCAACATAGAAAAATATCATTACGTCGTTATATAAATTTTATTAAATTAATTATATACTTATGTTCCATATACGATGTATATCATATATTTAATCAGGCGTTTACTTAATAAGTTTTTAATTATCTAAGGAGACACAAATGTAATAGAGAGATTTATATTGTATATTAGTTTCGTATATTTTTAGTTGTAATGTCTTATGTATACTTCCTCACAAACTATTTATTTTTTAACACGTGTATTCTCCAACCGATTCAAATCATATTTGAGAAATTATGATTTATTAATAAACACTTTTTATGAAAAATAAGAAAAGCATAGACAAAGCAAGGCTAATGAAAAATTCATTATATATTTTTTCGTCGAAAATACAGATAGAGAGAAAATGCTTATTAATAAAAATTGTAGGATAAGTAGGATCTCAAAGAAGAAAAGAAATAAAAAGAAAGAAATAGAAATCACTCTATTCGATTGACTCTGAGAGAGGACATGAGAGTCTTCTTCTTGTAATCGCAAAATCTTTGCGTACTACACTGCCCTCTGAAAGAAGTTGATGTCAACTATACAACAATATCCACTTTTTACGACACTACCCTGATAGCAAAACCGACTACAAAACCGTAGCCATCTGCATCCGCATTTGGCTATGGATTTGGCGACAACATTTGCTGACATGTTTTGCAGCAGATTGGTGACAAAAACCGAGCAGAGTCTATCGACACGATCTGACAGTAGATTGCGAGCAAAAACCGAACAGAGTCTGCTGACAATATTTGGGGGCTGCGTTCGGAAACATCACTCGAGTGTCTCAGTGTATCGTCTTATCCTCGTTTAACATGGGTGAACAACAGGCAGGTAATACAGACTCTGTCTACAATTTGTTGCCAATCTGCAATAAAAAATTGTCATCAATCGAACATTGTCAGCAGGTTCTGCTCCAAATCTGTTTCCGCAGACTTTGCTATTAGGGTATGGTGGAAATGATAAATCGTTGAAATTGTTGAAAGTTTTATTAATTTGATAGATTTTAGTTATTTCAGCAATTTATTTCCATCAGGAGCGCTGTAAAAAGGTGTGAATATTATTATGTAATTGACATCAACTTCTTTCAGAGGGCAGTATAGTACGCAAAGCATTTTGCGATTACAAGAAGAAGACTCTCATGTCCTCTCTTAGGTTTCTCTCTGCTAATGTTTTTTTTTATTTCAAGAGATGTCTCGTCATGGATACCAACGTGACCAGTATTTTTACATTTAATATTTATTTTTCTAGAAGTGGTATTCCGATAAGAGGTTAAGTTAATGACTTTAAAGCTTGTAGTACATACATATTTGGAATATACGAATGAATTCGGAAACGTAAAAGTGTACTCTATTGTAAAGAGACTAACGAGGTGACCAAAAATACACTCTTCTGAACAGGTATTTAGCGCATGCTTTTTTATTATTTTATCTCATTTATTACAAAGATAAATGTATAATCGTGCACGATAATAATTGATTTGATAACGTATTAATAATCTTGTGCCACGTGGTTTCTAGTATTAGAAAATGTCCACAAGTCTATAATAAATATAAAATATAATATATTTTGTACATAAATATTATATTTTATTATGCAAATTAAAAATTAACATAATAATTATAATGATTATAAAAAAAATTATACTTTTATACTGGTTTTTATTACATTCGCTTCATTCTATAATTGCTATCTTTTCTTGCGTTTTCATCTACACATACAATTATTATTTTATTGATTGATAAAATAAATTAATTTTGTTAATATAAAATAAAATTGTAAGTATATATATTATACACACCATTCTGCAGATAATTCGAATAAACGTTTAAAAAAATTTAACTTTATTAAAATTAACGTCCGCACTTGACAAACCCTTGCCTATTGAAGAAAAAGCGCATCACAAATTTACACAATGAAATCATATAATTAAGATTAGTGAAGCACGGTTGCACCAACATTACTTGATTTTAAGCGAGACTTAAGATTCTATCTATCTTGTATTAAAGCCGAAAGAGAGATAGAAATAGAGACAGTTTAATGCCTGTTTCCACCAATGCAGATTAACTTTAACTTACTGTTCATCTCTTTCGAATTTTTAGAATTAGAAAAAGATGAAGAGCAAATTGAACCGAGATTAAAAGTCAATCTGCATTGGTGGAAATTAGACTACGATCCATTTGATGCTACGAACCACTACGAACGCTTCGAAGCATTTTTTGATTGGCTAGTTAGTAAAATTCTTTCTTCTGATTGGACAATCGAAAGTTTCGAAGCATTTGTAGCGTCAAGTGGACCGCATTCCAGTCTCGCTTAAAATAATAAGGTCTGTTCTTTATTGCTGATCTTTTGCAGCAGTTCATCTTTTTTCCTTTCCCTTCTCCTGGAGAGAAAGCGTATGCATTTCAGATATATACTTCTAAGTAATAGAGCATTGAATTCTAATAAAATATTGAAATTGAGGTGGGCGGGCTCTTCTTAATATTTATCCAAACACAAATATATATATTCTCTGCTTTACAGACACAAATTTACTACTTTAAAAACAAATTTACCGCTTTAAAAACACAAGAATAATATTAAAAAATTGTGCTTTTAAAGCAGTGAAAATTTGTGTTTTTAAAGTACTAAATTAATATTTAATTACAGATAATTTGTTTTTAAAGTAGTGAATTAATTTTTGTAAAGCAAAGATTTTTATTTTTAGGAATTAATTGATATTGTACTACAGCGCATGCTCATATCTTATGCCAGCTGCACAACAGCGCAGATGTTCGTCGCGCGCGACACGCGATATCCAATGGGCATCTAGCTTTAGAATGAGAACATCGGTAAAGCTGTACGCTTATTGGATATCGCGCGTTGAACATCGCGCTGGTGTGCAGCTGTCATTAGTATTTCATAGCTGTGACAGATTTCCTAACCTGAATAGTCGTCAACTTTAACGCTTAATATCTCGGTTCGTGGAAGAGAACGATGCTTTATTTCTTGTGGAATCTTTATTTTTACGCAAAAATACATCGATTGAATCTGTTTTTATCAAAATTTGAGGTAATATTGTGAACCTTCACCGATGTAAAAAGTTATAGCAGTTTAGTTTTCATCATTTATATGTGTATCACGATTTCAACGTGTAAACATTCCTACGTGTCCTTACGCTTGCTTTGGACTTGGACGTTTCTACACAGAAGAACACGATGTAGCTTTCTTGGATTTTGGCATTTTGCGTACAGTTGAGGAGCTTGTGCTACATTTTTAGTCTTTACGCCTTGTCGTGTAAATGAGTTTAAGACTACCGACAGTACCGACTTATTGTAAAACTTCCAAAAGATTTTGTAACTGTGACAGATTTCCTAACCTTAGTAGTCGTCGTCAATTATTGTAACAATTATTATTTCGATTCATGAAGAGCGACGTTTTTTCTGTGAGATTCGTTTGTTTCGTAAAAAAACGCGTCGAATGAGTCCTTTTATCGAAATCAGATCTGGTTCGGGTAAATCGAACAATTATTCAGTTCCTATGTTTTTTCTACACTTAATTAAATCATTGATTATTATTGCCAAGACTTGTTAGACTAATGGCCGTAGCACACGCTTCATTTTGCATAATGCATACTGCACAAGAGAATTAATCAAAATTTTTTTTTCTCGTGAAATAGGAGAAAAAAGGAAGGATTCTAATTGGTTGATTCCTTTATACACTGTCCATTATGTGAAAGTTGTGCTGCACCTTAACCAAATGGCATGTGTCAAGAAAAGAAAGAAAAAGAAGCGATTATTAAAACGAAGCCATTATTTAGAAATTTGTTAGACTTTTCAAAGATATATCTCTTTAAAGTGATATTTTTGTGGTTATGTACAGAGTGGTCCACTTAAATCGATCATCTTAAATATTTTATGAAAAAAATATTTCAAATGGAACGATTTCTAGGAGGGTACCTATTAGTCACATTGTTTTTTTTTATATACGTGAAGAAGATATAAAGATCATTTCCATTTTTTAAATAGACTTACATATAATTTTTTTATATAATATAATTTCTCTAATTATTTTACATTTTAAAGTATGAAGGGGTAGAGATATAGAAAAATAATAGTTTACGAGCTATTTTATTATACCTTATTCTAGAACATATTTACGTAAAATAATAAATATCTCATAAATTATTAATTTTTTTATAATTGTACACCAATATTTTTATGAACCAAATAATAATATAAATCAATTGGCGTTAAAAATTGATAAAAAATACATGAAATTTAAATAATAAATTTAAATAAATAAATTTAAAAATACATGAAAGCATAATTGATAACATTTTTTTAAACAATTTAATAGTATATGAGATATTTAATATTTCATGTCAATATGTGCCAGAATAAAGTATAAAATATCGTATATTATTGATTTTTTAATATTTCTATCTTAAAACTTTTATAACGAATCATATTATGTAAAAAGATTAATAATTCTATTTTAAAAAGTTGAGGTGACCTTTATATCTTTTTGACACTTCTACCTAAGTAAAAAAAAAAAACAATCAGAATATGTTTTTTTCTCTTGAAATCATTCCACTTTTATTTAAAGTATTTTTTGACATTATCAAGTGAAATGTTCTAAATATTCGATCGAAATGCCAATCTGCAAATCTATATAAATTAGAGCTTTGTTTTTTGCTAACAAGTTTGTCCTTTCACAAAAGCATTAAACTATTAAATAAACTATTAAACGAAATTATTAATTATTAGAATAATTACTGTTTATAATAAATACATTTTTAAAAGTTTTTTATATTATCTTTCTTTATATTGTAATTTTTTTTTACATTATTATGCGATTATACAAGATTTCAAATTTAAAACTTTAAACTTTTAACAAGTTGTATTTTAAGATTTATAATTTGCTGATTTGATTTAGAATTCAATATAAAATTTTTACTTTAATATTTTTGTAGATGTATGTGTTTCCTGTATAACATGGTATCTCTACAGTATGATTTTGCTCTAACATGCATTTGATGCTTTGATGATATGACTAATGAAAATAATCAAGTATTATTAGAAAAAAGGGAAGGAAACAAGACTAATAAAGCAGATTTAATTGAAATAGCATTTGGGTTAAATAAAATATTCAGAGGATGAAAACTCAGATGGAAATTCTGTTCAAAATTTTATTTTAAAAAATATACAAAAAGGTATAAATCAATTGTTCGAGCAATTGAAAAGAAGCATATAAAAACGAAAATCATTTAACTCCATACGAAATTTATAAGGTGTCAAATAAATATAAACAAATAAAAATTACAGATTTTTTGGAAAGCTAAACATAAGAATTTAAATATTTCAAACTCTTCAGAAAATGAAGAGTCATGAAGGTCATTTTATAGTCAATAATCAAGAAGACACTTTCGTGCTTAATTGCGCAGGCATGAAGAAAATAATTTTAGCACGTACATTATTTAAGGCTCCTGTAATCCTATTCTGTAACTCTTAACGACAATGTCAATATTACAGTGTCATTGCGCAGATATTTCATATGGGGTGCATTCAGAAGTACGACCGCTCACTGAGGAGGCTCTGCTCTGTTTTTTGCTGTCAATCTGCTGGCAAAACTTGTCAGCAGTTTGCTGACAACATCTGATAAATACAGACTCTGTCTATACAATTTGTTGCCAATCTGCAATCAAAAATTGTCAGTAGGCTCTGCTCCAAATCTGTTTTCGCAGATTTTGCTATGAGGGATTACAAATTGCACGTAATAAAAATTAAAGTGTTATTTTTAGCTTTTAACGTCACGATTCAATATGGGTGTGGGATCACTACTCACAATCGTTTTAAATAATGTACATGCTAATTATTTTCTTCTTCACCGCTGCGCAATTAAATTATAAGAACAATGTGTTTTATTAGTTTTCGAAATCCAATCTTGTTTATTGCATTAATTTTTGATCTTGTATAACATAATTTCATATAACACAATATTTCGTAAAAGCTTAACTGCCGTATTAAGGCTGTCTGAACGTATTTTAATGTGTATAAACTTGTATTTCTATGATCTTTATACTTAAAGTTTTCAAAATTATAGATAAAATTCATAAATTCTTACAAATTTTAAATCGTCTGAAGAGAATTTTACAGAATTAATATTTATACTTTCAGGTAATGCAATTGTTATATACAATTAAAATATACTAGTTATATCAATCTCTCATGAATCAACTGTGAGAATCTTTATCTTTTAATCCACATAATATAAAATTAAAAGTTGAGCCTAAAGTATCTATAAATTAATATCTTGATTAATAAGGTATCTTCTATAAAGACAATAGTATTTTAAAAGTAAAAATTGCTTTACTAAAATGGTGCAAGAACTGTTAAATGAATCTACAAAAGAAATGCCACTAATGAATTCAGAACGAAGGAGTCATTTGCTTGATGAAGAATTTATTCGCTCGTCTGATAATCAGCAAAAACCAATGGGCAAGGTACAAATGAAAAAGCAATTAGGCCTTTTAGAAGGAATAGCTATCATATTGGGAATTATATTTGGCTCAGGTATATTTAATTAAAATTTCTAATAAATAAAAATTCAAAATAGTTTTAAAACTACAGCGTATTTTTATTTCGTGGTTTTGTACAATATGTTATATTGAATTTTCGCTAAGTTATATATGTTTGCAGGTATTTTTATTTCGCCAAAGGGAGTAATACAAGAAGTAGGTAGTGTAGGATTATCTCTGATTATATGGGTGCTATGTGGCCTGCTCTCTACGGTAGGTGCCTTATGTTATGCAGAGTTGGGCACTAGCATACCTCGCAGTGGTGGAGATTATGCTTACATTCATGAAGCTTTTGGTGCATTGCCTTCGTTTTTATATTTATGGGCCGCTAATTTAATTTTTGTGTAAGTATAAATTTCATAAATTAATAAATAATATTGATAGAAAAACAGATTTTTGTTGCTTACAGACCTACAACAAACGCTATCATGGCACTGACATTTGCTCAGTATGTCGTGAAACCATTTTTTCTTGATTGCGACACTCCGGTTTACGGTGTGCGATTAATCGCTGCACTGAGTATATGTAAGTTCTTGTTAAAAACAGCATCATTAACTTCCATATGGATTAGATTCTATGACCTATTCAATAATCCATGTTTTTCTCGAACGTCCAATGTCTCGCCTTCCTTAGGATCGCTAATTAAGTGCTATCTTTGGCAGTATCGCCAAATCCATGTGTTATAATTTACGTGTTCATATCACCTCTTTCTGTATACCTTAATTTTCTCCTCGATAACATGGATTTCTAAATCCTGTCTGACGTCATTTCTCATACGATCCGCTCTTGTTCATCCTCTAATACTTAGAAATATCATCTCTACTATTTGGATTTTCCTTTCATCTTGTGATCTCACAACCCAAGTTTCGTATCTATTCAACAATATTGGCAAGGCCATGACTTTGTAGAACTTTAAGAGAATTTTTTTTCTGCATTGGTTGCATAAAGTTTTCTCACCACCCCTTTTGTTAAAGATACAATGCATAATTATTCAAATGCAAATATGCATTTAAAGATAAACAGCCATGAATGTATTTAAATATAAATATAACTAAATTTAAATAATTTAAATATAATTAAACATATATTGCTTAAGCATGACTATTCAATTTAATATATAAAATTTACTGTGTTCATGTGTAGGTTTCCTCACTTTCATCAATTGTTATGACGTGAAAGAAACATCAAAAATGCAGAATGTATTTATGTTTGCTAAAATTGGGGCATTAGTGATTATTATTATAGCTGGATTAATCTGGCTTTGCTTAGGTACGTTTCGTACTAAATCTTTTAATATTCTTAATAAAATTATAATTATTTATAAATTAATCTTTTTAATCTATCATGTTAATTAGGACACAATGAAAATTTTGAAAATAGTTTCAAAAACACGAACACCGACCCTGGCAAAATCGCTGTTGCTTTTTACTCTGGCATATTTTCTTATTCAGGATGGAATTATTTAAATTTTATGACGGAAGAACTAAAAAATCCTTATGTGTAAGTTACAAAGATGATTAATCTTTCTATCATATTATAAAAGAAAAGAAAAAAATCAAAACTTCGATATCGATTTCACTTCTTGATTATCAAATTAATTGATTGACTTCTTAATAGAAATTTACCACGTGCGATTTACATATCACTGCCGCTAGTGACTTTAATATATGTTATGGCAAATGTTGCTTATCTAACTGTTTTAACTCCGACTGCTATGATCGCTTCCAACGCTATCGCTGTGGTAAGTAATATTTTTATTCTATGTACAAAATGTCCGATAATGATTACATCATCTACCGTAGGCAAATAGAGCGAAATAAATTTAGTATAAAAATCTTATACCATTTTGTTTTTTAGTTAAAAATAGAGATTCGGACCAAAAAATTTCGGTCCACATAACGGTCTAAAGCTAAATTCAACTTTTGGTTCTAATTTATTTACCGATTACATCCATTTGGATTTCGATCCTTTTCGGCTTCAGTTTTCAACAATTATATATCTGTAATGATCACTGTTATCACTGAAAAAAGTGAAAATGACACCAAAACTGAAGGTTGAGTAATCCTGGATCATAATCGTGATTTTACCAAGCTAAATTTTAATTCATAATGCAATTTCAGTTTGAGTTCCTGGAAAGAGAAATTAATTACTAGAAATTGTCGATTAAGCATATAACCTTTAGAAATTAATTTTTTATTAACTATTACGACAATTGTAAAATGGTACCAGGACTTTTTGACTCAGTTTAGGCTACTCTATCTACCTACAGAAGATGATGTGAACCGAACAGCTCGTGTAATAATTTATTAGTTAGACTTCAGACGTATAATCAATAGCATTGTCAAAGGTATACAAAATTTAGTCTTTTTATTAGACTTTTGGAAATCAACTTCTCGGATATATGTCCTGGATAATACCTGTAATGGTAGCTGTGTCCGCTTTTGGTGGACTGAGCGTTCATATTATGACATCATCCAGAATGTGCTTTGTCGGTGCTAGAAATGGTCACTTTCCCTCAATGCTGAGCTACATCAATATGACCAGACTCACACCTATGCCTGCCTTAATCTTTTTGGTACAATGCTAAATATGTATGCTAAAATTAAATTTCAAAGTTTTTAATCTCTCTCCTATAATAGCTATATATTTTTTTAATATAGCCTTGGGAGAACAAAAATTAAGAGCGTTCTTATTTTATACATTAAAATAAATTCTTTTCTTTATATCATAAATCGATCTTTTTGCATTTACAGTGTATTCTGTCTCTCATAATGTTATGCACGGGTGATATATTTGTACTGATTACATACTGCAGTATAGTAGAATCATTTTTCATTATGATCTCGGTAGCTGGAATTTTATGGCTGCGTTATAAAAGACCTAACATAGAACGACCAATCAAGGTAATGTACTTTATATGTGTGTGTGCGGTGTGTGTATATATATAGATATATACATATTCATATAAGTCATTAAAACTTCTCAGATACCATTATGGATACCTATACTGTTCGTAGCATTATGTGCTTTTCTGGTTATTGTACCATGCTACCGAAGACCATATGAAGTTGGTATGGGGATTCTGATCACTGTGTCTGGTATACCTGCATATTTCATCGGTGTTGCTTGGAAAAGCAAACCATTGTGGTTCCAAAATATTAACAGTTCGTAATTCTTACAAATACAGTTGATTAATTTTATTCATTATTTTTACATTTATTTAAAGTTTTCTATAGTGCTTCTCTTATATCATTAAACAATTCTCTTATTCTAAACTTTCAATTTAGTCAATGCTAATAGCAAGTGGAAATACTTTTTTATTACATATAATATTACTATTTGCGTAGTTAAGCAACAAATATAAAGTAAAAAAGAACAGAATAAGAATTTATATATAGAAAAGAATGAAAAATAGAAAGGTTCAGAATATCTTTGTTCGATTACGTATTACATTAATTTTTCTATTTTATTTTCAGTTAAAGCTACTCACGCTGTACAGAAATTATTTCTGTCTGCAAAGGAAGAACTTGAAGTCAATTAAGTAAATGGTAATTCTACTCCATCATTTAATTTAATTTAATTCAATTCAGTCGGATACGATGTTATACATTTGCCAAATTACTTTGAGATTTCAGAAAGACAAATTTATAACTTTACATATAGATATGAAAATTTAAAAAAAATATCAATCTAAAAAAGAACGGGAGCGTGTAATTTTAAAGGATACTAGATATAATCTTATTTAGTATTTCTCTGAAAATCACATAAAAGTAAAGAAGAATGAAGAGTGAAAGAATATTACGCAATGATCTGTACTGTATATAGAATTGAATAGATCTGATAATTGCATTTTATGATTTCCAATATACCAAAGTTGTGTCTTTTGTTTTTGTGTGTGCTACAGTATTATTAATATATTATTCTTTATTAATTATATTGATTAATTTGTAATACTATTATATATTTAAGAGTATTTATATAATATACTAATATATATACACTAATATAAGATTTGTAAGCAGCTTTATATTGCAAAAACTATATTTTAATTATGTCAGTATATCGCAATAGAAAATATAAACGTATAAATCACATTTATAATTACGAAAAAAAGTTGCATTGTAAAATATTCCTTTCTTGCTTATGCCTCCTATTTTCTGACTTCCTAATCTTAGATCAAGTCTGTCCAAAACTTGGTTTGTGAACCAAAACGCTTCCACCTCTCGGCCGTCTTTATATAGCGAGATGGCGGAGAGGTAAAGGCTTTTCGACTCACAAATTTTGGACAAAACTGTCCTAGATCGATTCTCATTTCAGGCGATCTTGATTTGAATCAAAGTTCATATAGTAGTTACATCAAAAATATTTCTTGAAAACAACTTATGTAAATCGTGTTTTAGCTAAAATTTGGATTTATTGCTTGTCCAAATTACAAATTAAATTATATATTAAATTTATGGTTGAAACGTGGAATTTATTCTTACAAATAAAAAAATTTAATCATTATCAAGTATTAGTACAAGATATGAATAACGAAATTTTGTAGAAATGACCAAATTATATTTCTTATAGTTTAAAACTTAGAGGTTACGTTAAATACTGACACAATTCAATTTTAAGCCAAAAATATCCATCCTGGACAGAGCTCTGACTTATAATTCTGACTTACTAGTGTAATATGAGTGGTCACTAACAACTTATTGTAAAAAGCCTATAATTTTATATCACTTTTACCAAACAACAGAGAATAGATACTGAAATAGGTAACCGAACAAATGCTTCTTTTTATTGCACACATTTGATGCAATCTTGTTAACATCATACATATGTATTAATGAATATCTTCTGGATTGAACATTCCCTGCAAACAATTATAACAAATAAGATTTTTTAAGAGAAAAGAATAACACAGTGTTGAATTGAATAATAATCTGCTATCATTCAATGTCAATTATAAATAAAATGTCATACTTTAGCACGTCTCAAGATGGAATCTTTGCTGGCGTCATATGGATGATCTTTGCTTGGAATTTCCAATACAGCGGGTATCGGTTGAGTATGACTATCAATTACATGGCGAATCATTTCAGCTACCTGCGACAAAGTATCAAATGTCAGATTAAAAAATACAAAGAAGCATTATTTTAATATTAAATAAAATTATTTTTGTTATAAACATAATATTATACAACTTAATAGATTTGTTTGCATTGCTTACACTTTTGCACTTAGAATCTTTGCTTTGACTTCCTTCTCTCTCAAAGCCTAAATATATTTCTCAATTTAATTGCAAAAATTTTTAAGAATAGCAATGCAAACAGACTTAATATTAGAATTTCAAAAACTTTAAAAATTATCAATAATCGTCTTTGTTACTTACATTCTGGTTGATAAGAATGATGTCAATGTCATCACGCTTGATAAATCGTTTGAAAGTATCCTCTATTTCGCTCACTGCTGTGTCTATAAAGATCGTTATTTTACATTAACATACAATTACGTACGTTATATAAAATATATTACCTTAATATAACTGTATATAGAATATTTTCTACAATGATTGCAATTATGACTCATTACATTTTTTTATAGAGCAAACAATAATTAAGAATAATAGATTATCTAATCAATAATTAATCAATTAATTGCTTATTTCAGAAATAATAAGGAATACTCAGTTGCTGCTTGCTAAAGCTATTATAATATATAATTAATACATACTTTTGTCAACAACCATAAAGTTAGCCTGGCGATGCTTATTTATCTCTCCAACTCCACCTAGTAAGAAGCCTACACAAGTATCCTGAAATAAGATAAATAAGATAAATGCTCAGAAGTCTTATCTTACAAAAAAACCATAGTTTTTTCAATAACTAACAAAACTAGTTATAAAAAGACATGTATAATATTTTAAGAAAGGTTATATAGCTCTTATGTGAAAAACTTGATAATTTTATTGCATATATTTAAATTTTTTAATATCAATTTTACATTAATTATGAATACTGTTCACAGTAGTTTATTCAAATCTTTTCCTTTACTAAATTGATGAATCTGATGTACTAAAAATAGAAATTTTACAAAAAAATCAACAAAGACCCTCATAAATGTTCAAAAGTATTACTCCATCAAAAACAATGTTCTTTTTCTCAGTAATTAGCAAAACTAGTAAAAAGACAAGTATATATAATAATTTAAGACGGAACTTATACTTCTGCTATAATTTAAATTAAAGCAGTGAATATGTATATTATAAGTGTAAATTTTTAATCAAATTATTCTCTGCTATAATTTGAATTACATGAAAAAATACATATGATTCAAGTTTTTTCCATAAAAACAATAAGTTCTCCCTCACAACATTGCATATAAAGCTTTCTATAACTAGTTTTAATATACTTACTGAAAAAATTTATGGGATAATACTGAATATTTACCAACAATCTTACTTAAAAAGATACAATAAGATCAAAAAATTCGTGATATTTAACATTGTAGAATTATTGAACGGAACGAGCATATACATGTGGTTTTTGCTATTTATTAGTTTTATTTAATCAATTACACATTTACATTTACACTAACCTCGTCGCCAATCACCGCTAAAAGTTTACCCTTTCCTGCAGAATGAAGTGTCATTGTGTTTGTTCTAACACAAATTAAATCTCGTGAAAAAAGCTTTCGCCAAAAATATATCCTAATATCTCTTGCACGTCAGCTGTGGTCAGCTGACGAAACGTACTCATCACATGCCGCATTGCCACATTTGACAGTGTTGCCATAACACAAAAAATTTAATAACCAGATTACTGTATCAAAAATTACCAGTTTCCGCCAAACAATTTGCAATATCCCCACGGAATTCGGGATTCCGCGTGATTGGTGCACATGACTTCTCCGGAGAGAAAAGGAAGAAAAATGAACTAGTACAAAAGTAGTAATAAAGAACAGACCTAATATGTATCTAGAAAACAAGCTCTTCTATTGGATATCCTAGTGAGAAATTCCTCGCAAAAGGGGCGTGGTTAGGTTGGAGCGCACATCATGTAAACTTCCACTATGGCTTGAGACTACTTTTGTGATGACTGTGATGATGTTATCCGAGAATTGTCATTTTCTTAATCAGTAAAAAGTGTTGTTATCATTAAAGGTACATTAAATTAATCTTATTTGTATTCTAAATATTAAACTTTTGGTAATCATCCCAGAAGAGACGCTCTTCACCTTAATTTCAATTAAATTATGCTCATTCGACGCATTTCTTCATGAAAAGAAAGAATCTGTCAGCAAAATGTTATGCTCAGTTCTGTGAAGCGAGATATTAATCGTTAAAATTAACTATTGTTAGGTTAGGAAATCTGTTTAATCACATTAATGGCATAGAAAGTTGTGCAAATTTTCTGTTTTAAAAACAAATTTTCTGCTTTAAAGAATTCTTTACTATAAGAACAAATATTATAGGAAAAATGTGTGTTTTTGAAGCAAAGAACGTTTTGATGTAGACAATTTTTGTAACCCTCTATTTATGTACGACAAATGTGACAGATTTTCTAACCTAACAATAGTTAATTTTAACGATTTAGAAAGAACTTTAATGATTAATATCTCGCTTTACGATTGAGCATAATAATTTACTGCTTTTCAGATTCTTTTATTTTATGCAAAAATGCATGGGTGTCAATTTCGAAATTTTAAATCGTTTTCGACGTAAATTCCATCCTTTCCACCTCACAGATACGCATTAATGCGTATATATTTTATTCCTATAAAATGATTTTCGAAAAATAAATTTTATAAAATAACTTTCAGTTCTGCCGAAAATACATCAAGAATGTTCTCAAGTGGACCTAACTATACCAAGTTAAAAACGCATTTGCGTCTAGCAATCAATCGTCTGAAATTGTTAGAAAAAAAGAAAACAGAGCTGACGCAGAAAGCACGTCGTGAAATTGCTGATTTTATTGCTGCTGGCAAAACAGAGCGTGCTAAGATCAGGGTAGAGCATATCATTCGTGAGGACTATATGGTGGAAGCGATGGAACTGTTAGAGATGTACTGTGATTTGCTATTGGCACGTTTTGGTCTTATCCAGCAAATAAAGTCAGTATTATGACTCTGTGGTCTGTATTCATAGCCTATTATTATTTTAAGTCCATCTTAAGTAATATCTTAAGATTCTTGAGTACTTATACCTCATATTAAATCGCTTATAACATCTTAAGATTGTACTTAAGACAATCTCAAACACATTATGTATAACATATATCAATGATTTGTTAACTCATAAATATAGTATGGAATAATATTCCTGTTTCCTTCAAACTTTTTGATAATCCATTAATAATTTATTAATTAAAATAATAATAACTTACTTTAAAGTAAATTATTATTTATGTATATATAATTCTGATTTATTATCTATTCAGAAACCTTGACGACGGTTTGGCTGAAGCTATATCAACCATTCTTTGGGCAGCTCCTCGTATTCAGACAGATGTGCAGGAAATCAAGGTAATAGCAGACATCTTGACATCCAAATATGGCAAACAATATACAGAAGCTTGCCGGGAAGAAGCAATTCAGACCATATCAGAAAAGCTGAAGCACAAAATGAGTGTACAGTCACCATCAAAATTGCTTGTGGAGAAATATTTAATAGAAATCGCCAAGAATTACAACGTGGAATATGAGCCAGATCCACAAATAATGGCAGAAGCCCAGGATGCGATGTTAATAGACATAGGAGGGGAATCAAGGAATAATCTGGACACAGCCAGTGGAGGAATACCTCATCCTCCTGGCTTCATTGGCTATCCACAGGCACCTCTGTTACCTGATCCTGGATTTTATTCGAGTGTAATTTAAATTTATTTTTTGTTTTAAAAAATGAAAGTTACTAATATAATGTTTTTAGAAATTTGCAGACTGAATCTACGAAATTGTTTAATAATGATTTCTAATAATTTTGATCATTGCATCATTAAAAATATCATGTTCCAGGATTCGGAGAAAGATACTCATACCTTAGGATTTGTATCCCCAATATCTCCACCTTCTACTGAGAAAGATAAAAATACCTCTTTCAATCCCACTGCACTTTCGTACAACATACCTCTAGACAATGCCAACTCGAACAAATCCGTAAGTAACATGTGTTTATCTTCAATAATTTCGTAAATTATATTTTTCTATTGGTATAATACTGATAATAAATAATTATTTTCGTTATATTTAAAAAATCATTAATTATAGGAAGATTTACCACCACCGTACCCGTCTGACTTCCCACCTGATTTAAATAAACAGGTAAAGTCATAAAATTTTCATGTTTATAATTTTTACTAAATAATTGTTAAAATAAATGAAAATATATTCTTATAAAAAAAATATTCTACTTAATTATAAAACAAATCTACAATTATATTTTCCATATATAGTCGAATGAAAAACCAAAACCCCAGCCAAGGTCCAAGATACCAATAAATAACTATCAACTTCCGGATCTGCCAGCAGTGCCGACAGAGAATAATGATTCGCCTGCGAATGTATCCGTGAACGATGACATTGATTTTGACGACTTGATGAAACGATTCGAGGACCTAAAGAAGAGGAAGTAACGTGCGTGATTAATAGAGAGATAAAAGCAACATATGTAAAACGTGTTATTTTGTTATCACTTTATCTTTGCAAGGTGTCATATTTAGTAGTGCCTTGTGCAAAAAGAAAAGGGTCTAGGAAACTTATGTCAATCTACTAAGCTTTTGCAATAAGAAAAATAAAAATATATAATTATGCTATATCTATGCAGAATGTGTAATAAAATACACATAAATTGTTATATTAATTAATGTATAATGTGTTAATCTTTTTATCATTATTACATATGTTCCAGAATGTTTTACAAGTGTATATATTTTCAAGTTACATTTTTATGAAAATGATCTTACTATTTCTTATTTCTCATTCTAGTTATTTCTTTTACAGAAATTATTAGATAGTCGATTATTATATAGATGTAAGATATCTCTGTACAATGTTATCAATCATCCCAATCTTCACATCTCTGAAAAAATCAATTATGTTGATTGTAAAAAAATATTAGAATTCTTTGTGTTTTTTAAATTCATTCTCATAGAAATTTTTAAATATCATCCTTTATTTTACTAACTATAATTTAATTTTAATAACTAAAATTTTTATTTTTTGATACAAAATTAAACTTCTATACTTATTATATAATTATATGTACAATTTTTAATTTATTTTAAGGAAGGAGAAATTCTAAGATGTCCACACATTTGTTAAATTTAAATTATTAATAACCCAAGGAGTATAAAATTGTGGGAACATTTTTATAACTATTATGCCTAGAGTGTGATTCTTGAGAAGTTTGTATACATACTTCTTTTCCTTTATCAATTAAACAAGTCAGGAGATTTTCTGAGAAATAACACGTGTTCTGCCTCACATCCGAATCCAAATAATGAAAACATTCTATGACAGCTTCCTCTATCAAATCGTGTAGTTCTGGATTGTGTACGTTACGTGTCATAAACTGAATGATCGAGACTTGCTCAGGGAATCCCCTTTGATCCACCTATTAAAAAACTAAAATTGAGAAAACCCGTCTGTCTATTAAATTTTGAAATGGTCTATGTATTTACCATGTTTAATTCATTGAAGAAACACTGGATAATGCACTATAATAAATTTAAATAATACTTTATGTTAATATAAATTATTAAATTATTAATAAATTATTGTATTATTACGCTTTTAAGGCTTTCACGGGTTTTTTCTTCAATTATACCAGAAGGTTTGCGGGTTGATACAGTATCAGCGCACCCCTCGCCCTGATGAAGTGAACGGCATGGTTCACAAAACGTTGGCATTAATAAAGAAAGACACGGCAATAACCCGCAAACCTTTTGGTATTATTGTATTATTATTAGACATATTTAAAAAAAAGAATATATTGTCTTAAAAGATTTCTATTACGATGAAAAGACATTACTATTAACTTGGAAACTAATATTATATAAAAAATGTAAAATATTTTAGGATAATGCTTGTTGTTAGAGAGAGAAAAAGAAATATTTTTCTTCATTATTTCTTTAGTTTCAGAGATTAAAGATCAGAAAATTTGAATCTTTGTGTACATATAGTGTTATTGCTACAGGTAATAACTACATTTCTATTATTTTACATTTTTTAAATATTCATTTTAATTCATCGGTTTTTTAAATATGAATTCAATTCTCCGAGAAAACAATGTATTTGTATTTATATATAATTGGAAATTTACTAATATATCGTATTACTTGTTCTTGTTGTTTGCTATGATTCTCAAAGTCATCATACATATGGTCATAGTTCGATCTACCTCCATTGGAATAGCTGAAATCGCGATTATTGCTGTTTCTTCGGTTTCCGTTTGAATAACTAATGGAATAGCGTTGATCATTAATATTTCTCTGATCGTTTCCATGATTCCTCAATTATTATATAAATATTTATTATATAAATATTAAGTCACACAATGCTTCTTTTGCTATTGGATTGCTAGTTGGATTAGAATCTTACCACAGTTCTGAGTGCCATCATAGTAACCAATACGGTGACAAGAATCTAATTCAGCTAGCAATCTAGAAAGAAAACAAGCATCGTGTATCACCGACTTAATTATTGATATTAATATTTTTAATTATTTATTATTATTATCTAATCGTATCAATTATTCGTGAACAATTATTCTATCTTGCTTCGTTACCGATTCTCATTATTAGGCTCTTTCCAAGACTGCATGTTGGAGAACTTGTTGCCGACATTTGTAATAAAGAACTTTGTGCCAAACACATCTACGAAAGAGTCATCGCTATCGTCACTTTCACTGGATGAATCATTATTGCTGTGATTGTTATCAGTTTTAGATCTTGTCTTACAAATCTGCATAACTTTCCGGTATTGATCATGTTGAACCTGCTGGACACTTGATCTGCATTTTAATGACTGCAAGCATATAAAAATTTGCTGAAAAAATTATTACGCATTTTAGTCTCGGCGATGCTGTAACTTTCATATCTCATAATGCAGAAAGCTCGATCCTTGACCACCAATTAACAAAATAATATTAAAGACGGTCGCACTGAGAAAAATTTTCGTGATTATCAATGATCGCACTTAGCAAAGAAAATTAAATAATAATTATTAATTACAAGCTCAAAAGACAAAAATATCTAAATGTAATATGTAGTGCCTATAAGAGCCAATACAAGATATAAGTATGAAATACAATTTATTAATCAGATATAGCGTAAATTATTTATTAATTAAATATAGCGTAAAAAAAATTAATTAATTAATTAGCGCTTAGTGATTCTTTAATATAATTGGATTTTGCCTTTCAGCTTTTCGCTGAATCTAAATATAGGAATCAATTACACAAAAAAATTACTAATCGCTAACTGATTAAGATAGATACTAATTGCAGAAATGAAGCATGATCTGATGTCACGACAGCGAAAACGCAGCAAGGCTACAGCACAATTTATCAAATAGACAGTAAAAATAGCAAAAATCGAACATGTAGCCTGCCATCATGACGTAACTGCAAAAACGTAACAAATTAGAACGCAATTTATCTTTTTAGTTGTTGAGGGCAAAAACAGCAGAAATCACATATAATAAATATTTTAGCACACATTTAGCTGTTATTAAAAATAAATGCATTTATGTATCTATTAAAGAAGTACCATACATTTAATTAGAATAATGTTTTGCAAAATAGAAACTATATTTTTAATTTTGCATCTTAGGTGGTGTCAATAAAGGAATAATTCTTTGTTAACAAAATTGTTGCACAGTTTTCAAAAAATCAGTTTCATATTCTGAATTCTCTATAGAAATTGTGTCAGAAATTAAACTGCTAGAAAAGTACTACACATTTTATTTTCACTAATCGCATTATGCAGTCTTTTATATTTACTCATGACAAAGATTTAAATATGAGATAAATATTGATACTATCAATATGATACTTATAACATTTCCGTACCGTGTTTCTGCTGTTTAAGACGGAAGCATTTGCTTCATTTTTACCACGTTATGCCATACAAGCAAATAAATTCAATTTTTAACATTTACAAAATGGAGATATCCATTTAGAAATTTTATATGACCTAAAGAAGATATTCAAGATTACAATAACATTACTACGTACGCACATTTTATTGAAAACCTTACGACATTTATATATAGAATATTTTTCTCAAAAATGCTTTATTTTCGAGTTATTCAACCACTCTGGAACTAATATAATATTTACTAGCTAATAATAAATAGCATCATTTCTCACCAGAAAATAAGTAAATACACATTTTACATAATCAACAAATCTCTTTGAATTACTTACATTTGCTGATTCTAACAGCAGCAGGCAAAGGCTGCATAGAAGAGCAAAAATTATTCTGGTCACCATTTTCGTTCGAGCTCTATTTTTCCAAATGAAACCTCCTCACTTTTTGAACAGGTATTTATGTAATAGCTCTAAAAATGCTTGTATCATCGGTGAGACAAGTTGATAGAAATAATTATTGCAAAACATTGTTCCAATGCCTCCGGATGCAGGAGACACGCTCCACTACTCTCTTGCAATTATTCTACATAATTACTGATCGAATTGCCGTGACTATTGTTACGAGTAAGTCCTTTGTGTGAGAAAATCACTGGATTGTCAAAAAGAAAGAAACAAGAAAAGAAAAAGATCTAATCATGGGGAAAGTGAAAGCTTCATGAAGGTATGTTCGATCAATTCTCTAGCAATTGTTCATCGAAGAAGATATAATGTACATCAAGTGCTTTGTAAGTACCTATATTATTGTTGTAAAATTATTATCATAAAACCCTGCAAGAAACATTTTTCAACGAAAAATGATTAAACTATAATATATTCTTCTGATCTAAAAACTATATGCGAGAGATAGGAATACAGATTGAGGAAAACAACAGACTACGAAAATGTGAAAGTGATTAAGTTATGTATACCATTATACATATAATAAAATATAAGAAAATGAGACTTTTTCAAGTTTTTGTTTTTTTTCTTTATATTATAATAAAAATATAATATTCTTTTTGTAATAACATTATACTTCCAATTTTTCAATATACTAACAAAAACTATCTAATCAACAAGATAGTTTTTAATTCTAATTATTTTGCAAAAACATTTAGTTGATTAAGTAAATTTTAAATGTTTCGAAAACGGAGCATTATATGAATATTTTATTATCATTGTCCAATGCAAAATCAATTAATCGAGATAAAATTTCTAGATAAATAAAATTCTTTTGTAATATCTTGTATTTTTAGTTCACGTTACATGTTGTTTTCAAATTAATTTTTTACTCGGCCAATGTTTGTCTCACTTTTCTTTTATATATATATAAATATATACATAAATATATATATTGCCTCTTATTATTTTTATTTTCAAATACAATTGATGGAATCTCATTAACCTTTACAGGACGAGAAACCCACTATTAAAGTGGCGCTAAAACAATTATCTTTTGAGGCAAGAAAAAAAATAAAATGAATTATAACAAGTCTTACTCAAGGAAAAGTTATAAAATTTTAAAAAACGTTCTGTAAAGGTTTGATTCTTAAAAATGAAATTACTCTAAAATTAATAGAATTGTGTATTGTAAATAAAAGAATAAAATTATAAGAAATGTCAAAATTTTACACCTTTAATTATCTATATTTTTTTTCGTAGTTTCTTCTCAAACTTTTTTCACTCGCGATTACGTTGCCAATAAATGATGATGATATGAATGGAAAAATCACACCGACATATACAAATAATATTTATTCCATTATGATGTTGAAAAGGATATCAGACCAATCATCAGATGGAAGTCGAATAGATTTTCAAATAAGGAATCATCAAGGACCGGGAACATACATTTTCGGTTTTGATACTGGACATGGGTAATATACATTGCTCTGCCATCATTATAATTATATTAATTATCGTGTAGAACCAATAAATTGGTTAATAAAAATTTCATACAAATTTTCAAGAAAATAATAAAAGATTAAAATATGTATATAACTCGTAGAAAAAATCGACAGTACAAAATGGAAGAGCGTCATCGAGATGGAAGCGTCAAAGGTCGATATGGTTTTTATGATGTAAAGGGAAATCTTAAAATTGTCAACTATATAGCGGGTCCCGATGGTGGTTATCAAGAACGTCATCACGAAACCGTCACTTATAAATCTGAAACTTAACGCACGTATCTATCTTAAATACTTTTTAAATAAAACTACTATAGTTCATGTATACCTGTATCAAACATTTCACATTTATATACAATAGAAAATAACTATTGCTCATGTAGATTTTAAGTTACGTAGGTTATATTATAATTAACAATCGGTGTAGAATTGAGATCCATTGTTGTCACACTTTTGTAAAGTTTCAAAATGAAACTAAGTCAATAATAAAATTAATTTTGTCATTCTGGAGCTATCCATTTAATATGAGAAAAAATATGGAAAATCCTTTGAACATTATAAAATATGTTTTATTAATATAGTATATGATATAGGATGGGTCAAGTAATACAAATTAAATAAAAGTATGTTGAGAAAGGTTACGAGTCAAAGACAATAGATTTAATGTTCGTAAATGAAAGTAAAAATGACAATATAAATATAGTTAAATACAGATGTTTCGACTCCGATCGGGTTATTTTCAATATTAAATATATTATAATTTAGGCGGTTAAATGTAAAAACAATAAAATATAATAAAGCTTACAGACATAATTAACAAGTAGCTCTTGGATATTAACATCAAAAATTCTTTTTCCTACGATATGCCACTGTGTACAATGTATGATATGTCACTGATAGCTCCATTCCATTAATTTAAAGATCTTTCCTATAGTTCGCAAATGAATAAAATGATAGAAATTGTAAATCTATCAATATATGGAGTAATTATGTAATATGTAATTAAAGCAAATTGGTGAAGTGTAATTTGTATAAATATAAATAAGTATCCCTATTAATAATAACGTTACAAATAACAATGTTAGAATAATTCTTGAAAACGTACACGTAAAAAAAGTGAACAACATAACGTTCTTCATTTCTAACTTTTTTCAAATATTAAGTTAATATTTTAAAGTGATACTTCTAAAATGTGGTACTTTAAAATAAAACATATCTGATTCACTTTTCCTGTAGTGTAGAATGTGCATTTTTCCGTCGTTAAAAATCTTAACTAGTGATTTGAAAAAATAGAATAAGCAGAAAAAAATTTTTTAATTTATACTCAGAATTGTTAGGTAACAGAAAACTTGATCGTAGAGTATATGTATATCAATTATACATATTCAATTGAATACCAACCAATCACAGTATTAGAAAAAGAAACTCCCTAAGTGAAAGTCTATAATTGGCAATGGGTACTGTGGTAGGAAAATTTTACAGAAATTCTGCTGAAATTAACATTTCAGTGAAAATGCTAAAATTTCGTTACAAGTAAATTACTGGAAGTTAATACTTTGCTAATACTAAAGTCACTCTGCGCATGTATAAAAAAACCCGATCCGTATCGAAACACTGATCCGAGGCATTTTATATAAATAACAGTGGTCTACAATTAGGGTTAAACCGTTTATTTAACAATAACAATTGCTATATACGAAAAAAATAACGCAAAAAAGATGTAAACGTTATATAATATATAGGGTGTGTGTGTATATATATATTAATTTATATATATACACATATACACACGTGTGTACACACACACACGCATGCGCACACACACACACACACACGCGCGCGCGCGCACACACACACGCACATACACACACATGTACATACATACACACACGTATATGTGTATGTATACACAGAATGTCCTAGAAAATGTGCGAATTAAAATACCACAGTAAGAAGATCCTACAAAAATTAAGTAAAAAAGTTATGTATACAATTTTTATTTGAAACAGCAGTTTTTTAGATATAAGGTTTTAAATGTAAACAATTATAAACTATTATATATTTATATGGTCACCTTGTCTACGATGACATGTAGTAATAAATTAGTCATATTTAAACTCTCATATAATTTCATAGAACTATTGTTTAATAGTTATTTTTGTGACTAGGGAGTAAAAGTGGTTTTTATACCTGGAGGGTGTTCGACGGCACGAGGGCTGGCGAAGCCAGCCCGAGTGTACGGTCGAACACACGCGGGTGTGAAAACCTTACTCCCGAGTCGCAAACAACATTTTTCGTACTAGGGAGCTGTGAAGGTGGGGAATGAGGTTCATGGATTGTTTTGCTGATTGGGGAGTAATTGGGTGTTATTTATTTACAATTCTCCGGGGTGTAAAATCGCATTTTACTCCCGCAAATGCGGGAATAAAACTATCATTTTACGCGCCCTAGTACGAAAAATAAAAATTTGCAAAAATAACTTGTTTACTTAATTTTTGAAAAACTTTCTTACTGTTGTATTTTTATTCGTAAATTTCGGAATATTCTGTATATTAAGTATGTGTAAGTTTATGTGTTACATATTTAATATCCATACAGAAAACGCATTTGTGTGTTGGAAGGTGCGCTTACGCGCACTGAATGGATTACACAAAAGTATAAATCAAATGTATACGTATCTGCTGCATTCTTTTCCGCTATCTTCTTTCTTGTCACTGTTCTTACCCAAAATCTATTTCAATCCTTGATTTGTCACTTCTATTTTTTTTACGGGAGTCATCTCTCATAAAGTAATGCTTTGAAATTATTTGTCCTTTTTGGTATCCTCCGTTCCATACGATGAACTCTTGCTTATTTCCGACATTCCGAGAGTTTTGTACATTAGCACATAAACTGTAATTTAATTTATTCAGTTTAAAATGATATAACGTTAAAAGAAAATTGAGGTATCATTTATAACTCAATGGCTTTATATATATGTATAAAAAAAGAAACGTAAGTAATAGAATAGCAAGCAAATCAAACAATCAGTCTTAAAAAGTCCAATTCAATTCGCTGTATATGTGCACACACGCATAAACATATACATGTGTAATAATCAATAAGTTAAACAAGGGTGAAGTAAGAGTCAAATTACAATTAAAAATCTAAATAATTCTGACAATTTATTAATTACATGATATTCTTCGCAATATATTAGAATAAATTATCAGAATTATTTAGATTTTTAATTGTAATTTGACTCTTACTTCGCCCTTGTTTAACTTATTGATTATTATTATATAAAAGAGTCCTTTAAATTTTCAATTTATTTATATACATATGTATACATACAAAATATTAAAAAAATTATTCAGCATTTACATATATGATAATACAAACCATATAAATATGATAAAATAATGACAATGTAACATATAAGAATATAAAAAATACTACTTACATGCAAAGATAATCCCGACCACGACAGTAATGCCAATGATCGAACCAGATAGCAGGAGCCTTAGGAGGTAATATAGTGTTGGTACAAGAACAACTATCGCCCAGAATATGGTGTTAATGAGAGAATAGTATCTTCTCTTTAGCTTGAACGACTCTATCCTAGGTACTCCACTCGTAGCAAAAAAATCACCGGTCTTATAGAAGCTCTCCATCATACGGTCCTATCAAAGATTTCATCTAACGTTATCATGTCATGTTATCATGTCTAACAAACAAACCAAGTTATTTAACAAAGATCAATTCTCTTGTTGTTTTACTCGATTTAATCACAAACTTACGACCCCATCATCCTAATGCGTAAAAAAAAAGAAAGTCTAAAATTCTTTTAATACTTAAAAATACTTAAGTTGGATAAGGTGTAACTTAAGCAAGTCATTTACACATCATAATTACATATGATTCTATCTATGAATAGATGACTACGCAAAACTCTTAATTTAATTTAAGTTAAACTTAGAAAGCATTATTATGTATCAGTTACAGAATTATATTTCTATCAAAATAGTATAAACTTTTGCATTTGATTCAAGGAGAAATGAAAACTTAATATTACCTTTTGCTGATAAAGTGTATGCAGCCATTTAGCAGCGGCTTCGTCTTCTTCCGGTACCTCCTCGATTGGAATTCTTTTAGCATACATATGTCCTTCTAGTCGTTTTCCCAAAAGAAGATTCCTCACAGTCGGTTTCACGGGATCAGATGACTTGAATGCTATCTGAATATCATAAATGGCCATTGCTTTGCCTCTCATATGTGGAATGCTAGCGGTAAAGCCCTTTGTGCGTGGCGTTAAATGATATTTTAATACTGGCAGACTATTTTTTATGGCAAACTTCTGACCAGCTTCTAGCTTTTCGGGCGTAAAGCGCGTACCCTCGGGATAGAGCAGCAACTGTAATTAATTTACACATCCATTTTTATAATTATTTTTAACATCAAATATTTTGAAATCATTAGAATTATTTGCTCCAAAAGTGTTTAAATTTAAAGAAATGATAAGACATACTCACCCATATTGTATCAGGATACTCGACAAGTTCTTTGATTTGATTTTTGATATTCTCTTTATCTTTCTCCCAACTCCTCTCAAGAAAGATACTTTCAGCGAATTTCCATGCCCACCCCAACGTAGGAAGATATTGTATCGACTTCTTAGCATAAGCTTTACAGTTCTAAAAAAATGTTTTTTTAAATAAATGTTTTTGTACTAATATATATACATATATATATATATATATATATATATAAATCAATATAATAGTAATCAAGGCTCACATGAATAAATCAATACATAGAAAAACATATTTTTTAGAGCCGGACACAAGACATGGATATGTATAGTAATTTATTTTCTTAAACAATATATAAAACAGACGTTTCAATCTGTACTTGGGATCCTTTTTAAATCGATACATCTTTTGACATTGTTGTTCGCTTTTTGAACACTAAAAAAATGGATAAAATTGAATAGAAATTTAGTAAGTTTCAAAAATAAAAATTTTACGGAGATATAAAAGACATGTAATGACATATATTCTCAGCAATTAAGTAACAACACTTTGTTTAGATTACTGTTTCACAGCCACAAGTACAAACAAAAAACGAATAACAATATCAAAAGATATATTGATTTAATATATAAATTAGAAATATACATTTATTTACATTGAAAAGGATCTCAAGGATTGAAACGTCTGTTTTATATATTGTTTAAAAGAGTAAATTATTATACTTATCAATATCTTATGTCTGGCTCTAAAAGGCATGTTTTTCTATACATACATACCTACATACATACATCATACATACATTCTATACATACATAATGTATATAAATACATTACACACACACACGTGTGTGTGTGTGTGTGTGTGTGATGTAATTAAAAATTTATTTTCAGAGATTACATACACCTAGCAATCTCTGGCGATCACATAGCAGCCAACCTATCAACCAATCGGTATCGTAACTATGATTCATCAGAAGGTAGCCGTGTTCATTACCAAAATATTTATCGAAGTCCTCTTTATCTATGTATAACATCAAGTCTGATCCTGCCCACCATTCTGCCATAAATACTAATTCTAAAAATTTAGAACATATTAATTTTTTAGAAATAAGACAAGAACTCTCTGTAATATGAAACAATTAAACTTACGACAGTAAAAGGAATAACAGAGATAATAGTTGATCTTGCGGTAGAAGTACTTAGAAAAGGGCCTCAGTCCAAGGTATAAAATGCATTGGAAGAAATTTATTATCAAGCCAGATGTAAAAAATGTGATGGCAAACAAAAGCTGTATCGCCAAAAAAAAACATTCACAAAGCAAGACCTTCACAAAGGTGAGAACTCCCATTGTAATAAGTAAATAGTACTAGACTGTATGCCTTATAGAAAACATGAATGTTTGGTTTCTCTGCCTGCAACAGAAATAAATCGACAAGTGTTTAAAGATAAAAAGTTACAATTGCTCACATATAAAATTCTTTACAATTTCAATTTCTTCATAAAATTCAATGAAGACAATTATAATTGTTGTATTTATAATTGCCATTGTATACAAGAAAAACATAAAAAATTCAAAATAATGTTTATTATGTATAACATTAAACAGTTATATGTGCAACTATATACAAACAACTTGCCTGAGATCGAAAAAAAACACTTGTAGCATCATTATGTACAATTTTTTGATCACTGGATGCTGTTACATATAATAGAAATTATAATATACTGTTTTTGTCAATTGGCTTATCAATTTATTTGGTATGGAAAAAGAAGCAAACCATATTTATTTCAACCATATTAAATCATGACATCACAAGTAAGAAATAACATGTTGACTTTTTTAACATATAAAGACAATTTCAATAAAATAGAATAATGAGTAAAACACTTGTAAAAATGAGTATATACTATCCGTTCCCGCCTGACAATCAGTAAATATAATTAAAAAACGTTCGTGGTTTCTGTCACTTATTAGTAGTGTTTTTAATTGCGCGACGTCTTCTGCGCCCGACTTCTATTGCCCTTTATTCTTTCCAATTTATTTTTGAGTTGTAAGGAGTCTTAATTGATTTTATTATTATAAGATTTAAAAAACCTCCGTGAAATGAAAATAGGCTAGATATTGAGTAAAAACTAGTAAATGCACTTTACATGACTAATTACTGACTATTGCAGAGAGATGGATAATGATAATCCCTTATATTGCAAATATTTTGAAATGATTTTATTGTTCCATTATATTCAATTCATCTTTATTTATAAATGACATATAAAAAAAGTCTTTGTGTTGCTTATGACATCATAATTCAATATGGCTGAGATAAGTACTTGAACTTTCATATCAGTGTTCAATAAAAAGAAAATATAAATCTGCAAAAAATTTCATGATTCTTAACATTAGCTTCAATAAAGATCAAATTCTACTTTCTTAGGACAATTTAAATTGAAAAATTAAATTTGTCATTAAATTCTTAGGATTTTAGTAAATTACAGTTTTTTATGAAGTTGTATAAATTTAACAAGTGCTAATGAAAGAAGCTGAAAGAAGTAATAGTTATCATTAGCATGCAAAAAGACTAGATGTAACATAATAAAATAATTATTATAATGACAACTGAATTTAATTTGGAGCAAATTTCTGATTAGTAGCACATTTCTAATACCAGCTTTATATTGGCTTATAAAATTTAGGATAAATTGGTAACAAATCATCACTACTTTAAACTACATTCTTAAAAATGGTTTCTTTAGTCTTCTTCCATCATCATTATAATAATATTATGCAATGTTTTATACATTTTCTCAAAACAATCCCAGATAAATTAGAATTATATCTGAAATTAACAAGGACTTGGTACTGTCAAAACTGATCTAGAAAACTAATAAATAAGGAATATTGTGTATATATAAATTTGACATATGTTTTATCATGTGATACAGAACATAAAATAGATTACATAAAACACAATGTTCTGTTTGAAAGTTTTGTCATATTGAGATTAGCAGGATGTATTTGATGTACATCACATTCCATAATCTCATTAGTCAGGGATACATTCCTCTCCAAGGAAATTTTTATTCAAAATATATAGTACATATATTATAGTGTGTGTGTACATATATATATATATATAGAGTAAAATCTTTATTGGAAAAAACATTTTCCCAGATGCACATGATATTTCGAGGATATTTGTAAATATTTTTAAAATGTTAAGATATACTCAAGACATTCTTACTGCCACTTGTGTATTTCTTGCTTGAGAACAATAAACAAAATATCCTTAAGATATTGGAATGAAGTCTAAATTTACAAAATGAACAGAATAAGCGTGTCATAATATTTAGAAGAGATCGAGATGTTTTTATCATAGGCGCGCCACAACACAAACAACGTGTATGTTTGTGAACCTCTGAGAACCCGAAAGACTTTTTTGCGGCTTACACAGAGCGGACGAAAACGACCAGGGCTTACCTTAATTAGACATCCCAGGCAAGAGAAAGCGTGCGTGCGGAAGAAAGCTGTGCATGTGCTAAGTGTGATATATACGGATCAAAGTGCGAAGTTCGAAAATTCACTAACGGTGAACTGATGGTGCGCTTTTGTGCGTGCCTCGACAGTGCCTCGACGTCGGCGCTTTGTACTGCTTGTCTCGTACTACTGCTTCGTACTCCGTTCCTCATCGGGAGACTAGAGATACCACCAATACCACCATACTATGCGTGCGCGAACACTGGCGAACACTAGCATGGTGAAAGAAAACAGATGAGTCGATTCGCATAACGGCAATTCAGAGCAATCGGCTAGCCAATCAAATCTTGGGGTCCTATCCCTTCAAGTTGTAATTGCTAACAATGGGCGCTCGCTATTGGGTGCTTTCCATCTGACGACACAAGTCGACCAAACGTCGTTCTATCTTTGTTGTTCTCTGATTGTTAAGAAAGATAAAACCATGGTGGAAATATACAAGGTGAACCATTCCGGTGGTTGCGCAGTCGTTCAAAAGTAGTAGGGGAGCAATGAACCAATCAGCTTTTACCCAAGTGCAAAATTCAGTATGGCCAACTGGTCGACACTTGAGTGTGTCGCGTGCTGTTATCATATATAGAAGTGTCAATAAAGAGTCAATATACCAAATTGTTTCGTTTATGCATGTTATTTTTATTAATATTTTATATTCATATTTTGTATTTATTTTATATTTTATATTTAATATATTTAATTTTCCATGCATTGTGTTTTAATTT